AACCGAATCTTTAGTCATTTAAGGTATTCACTACTTTAATTTGAATGAATAAGGAAATAGTATGTCGTCGCCTAGCATTTAAAAATAGCAATGGACTATTGAGATAATATAAATTACGTACATACCATAGGTTAAGTCGATCTCACATACATTTTAAGAATATGATCCTTTTATAAAGCAAATTAATGATTAAGAATTTACAAGAAATGCCTAACCCACCTCCGTGCATCCGTTTGCCTTAGGTTCGAATTCATTAGAGTCGTTTATGCCCAGGGCGCGTAAGAATATTGATTCTTGCATCGCAGGAATTGTGGTGAATCGAAACAAGGCATTTGGATGAGAAAGAACTAGATTCAAATTAACAGCAAACGCGGACATGTCAATCGGAAAAGGACGCCATGGGGCGACCACATGGCGAAAGTATGAGACTGAATCAGGATTATCAGCTGTGGTCACGCAGCCCTCAACTGGCATTTCCCCAGCAAATGCGACAGGCCAAGTTGACACACGCTTGGTATATCGCATCTAAAAAGTAAACATTGAAAATTGCATCCTTAAGGCACGGCGAGCAAGATTGACATAAAATGATTACCTCCTTAAATAAACGGAGATCGTATACATTATCGTCGTCGGCTATATACAGTACGCCATTATCAATTCCAAGTCGTTTATTTTTCCGCAACCAATTCAAGCCTATGTTTCTCTGGTGAACACCTCTAGGTATCTGCCATGCTTTAAGGCCAGGTAAATTTGTTTCATTTTTAGGGGTTTTTACATTGAGATGAACGAAAGGGACTCCACACTCAAGTAATAATCTAGAAAGCTTTCTTTATAAAGAAAATGATCGTCGATAAGGGATCATTTATGAGGTAAACCAAGATTAGATTGTACAAAAAAGTTTAATCTCACGGGTTTTTGTCATAGGAATCTTCGACAACAATCCAAAAGATATTTTCTATGTGCTTCAATGAATGACATAACCTAAGAATTTGGGGCTTTTGTACGAATCTTTTGTAAGTTGCAGTTAATATATATATAACAGGCTCAATAGTGTGGTCTAAATAACGAAATAAAATGAAATA